GTATGCATGCATTAGTAAGTTATCATAAGCACAGGTGTTTTCACAATAGTTGCTAGTACGAGTGAATTCCACAAAGCGTCAAGAAATGTGAAGAGTGGGATCTGATATTGACCGACTTACATGCTACTCACTTAGCCTGACACAATGTTACAGATGCTGGAAGAAAACACAAGCCTTCTGAATCAAAGACAAAGGATCTTTTACTTACATCACAGCAAGGAGCATAAACTATCCTTCAGATCTGTTCACTTCTACTTTAAGGTGAAGAGGAGTGATGGGGAGGCCCCAGGTGCATGTGGAGCACACAGTGGGTTTGTACCTCAGCTAGGGAGTCTTAAATTTAGGGAGCCTGGATCTTCGATAACGAATTGTAAAAAATAACATGCCCAATCTCTGTATCAAAGAGTATCATTATCCTTATTATCCTTATTACACCATTATTGTCATTATCCTTATTACATTATCATTATTACATCAAATAGATAAGTCTTTTGAACCTAAGGAAGACACCGTATCTTCCAAGTCTGATTGTTATACAAACATTGCATAAGAGATATTCTGGAAGAAAATAAAAATTAATGCCTCTGCTTGCAAGACATAAAGAAATGCAAGAGTTTCATGAGAAATTGTTCCCCAGCATAAATATCCTGAGGAGAAGAGTTAAAGATCTGAAGAAGTGCTGGTATTGTTGCTCACAAAGGGAAACTGTTCCAGAGCCTTAGAGTATTTTACAAAAATTACAGTTAAAGATGATTGATACCACTGCACTTGCCTGCTCACAATCCATTTATCTACATATCAACCAAAATAGTCCTTTAGAAATTGTACTCCATCACCCTTATTAAAAAGTCAGTTTCCATATCTTCCTTTAAAATTATGATTATTTGTAAAGAAAATAAAAAAAAAAAGGAGATTGACTTCTCATGGTCTAAGAAATCAAGCTGCTATAGATTGCCTCTTCAGCCAACACTAAATTTAATTTCCACTTTCAATACCTATGTTGACTTTATATGGAAATTTAGCCAGTCCCTTAAGCTTACTGTGCTGCTCTTCCCTATACCTTAGGGCCTTTCAGCTTGCTCAATTTCCTGCATATAAATTTTAACCCTTGCCTCTTTTCTTGCTAAGCTTCATTCATCATTCAGTTGTCAGTTTAGATTCCTCCCTTTTTAGGAACGAATCCTAATTCCCTATTCCAGGACAGGCATGCCTCTTACATGCTGGTTGAACCACATGTTTATTCCTTGTTCCATTTCAGTGTATGCAAGATATCTTTGAGAACAAGAAATAGGTCCTGACTACACCTGTGGTGCGATCATCACTTGCCATAGAAAGCTACAGGAATAGTGTTTAAAAGTACGTTGGTTGAATAAATATGTGAGTTACAATTTTGTGCCTGGAAACATGATAAACTTGTTTTAGTGAACTCTTTCACTCATGTAGAAATTAAAAGAACATATAACCACTTGGATTTGAAACACAGTATCATGCCACATTTGTTTCAGATGCCTTTTTAAGACGTAAGACATTACACTTACAGTTTTTCCTTTCTATCCAATCCCACTTCTTTTCTACATAAACTTGGCAACTCTTTTGCATTTGACGTACTTCTTTCCCATCTATAGATTTCAATTGTACTAAACATTTATAAAATTTAATGTATTTTCTAGGTGTTCAATAGCTATAATTATATATATATATATAATATAAGCTATATATACACATATTGTGCATATATGTAATTAAAATTAAAATGTCTAAAGTATATATAGCTATATATATTATTAAATTTCTGTATATATTTATATGGTTCTATATTGTTATCTATATATGCCAAAACTATAGTTTTATTTTGATATGAATTTCTTATTTTCACACATATTTTTCTATTACTTTTGCCTCATTTTTTCTAACCAATTTTTGATCTTTTTTTGTAAATATGTTATTAATGTATTTCCGTATTTTGTAATTACAAAAGTATTTTTGTCATCATTTATGCATTTTTCATTAATAAATTCATTTCTTGGATTTCTTTCTCAATTAATTCACTCTCTTTTTACATTTTTGGTTCTTAGGCTTATTGTGAACAACAATATGCATCTCTTTGTCTCTCTCTTTTTCTGAAAAATCTCTGTTTCTGTGTACTTGCTCTTTGCCGTAGTGCAATTTGGGAGATGTCACTAAACCAATGGCTTCCTGATGGCTTATCCTGGTTTGGGGTCTGTGTCTGATTTCTGTTGTTTCTCTCAATATGGACTTTCATGTGGGAAGTAGGCACAGAAAGTAATAATTTTTCTTCTAGGTTTATTTGTTTATATTCTGGGGGTTATAAATATCAATTAACTTACAAAGGCACAGAAAATAATAATTTTTCTTCTAGATTTCTTTTAATGTTCTGGGGGCATATAAATGTCAATTAATTTACATAATACAAAGCCCAAGCACTCAAACCCAGCAGCCCAGCATTCTTTGGCTCTTATTCCATTGTATTTTCATTCTGGTTGATCTCCAGAGTACATAAATCAATATATGTATGTAAGCATGTATGTATACAGTTTGGTAGGGCTATTTTATTTTTAATTTCATTTTTATGACATTATTATCTATCATTGCTTTGTCTCTGGAGGCAAGACCCTCTGATTCTAATGTGTATATACATATATATATATATATATATATATATATATATATACGGTATTATTAATTCAACAAAGGCTACTAAGTCAGTGATTCTAATAATGAAAAATGGACTTAAAAACTGAGGCTCAGAAGGTTTAGAGGCTGAATTTATGGAGCACAACCAAGTCTGTTAACTTAAGCACATATTTTCAGCCGTGTTTTCATATCTCCACCCAAATGAATCGCTGTTTTTTTCTATCCAAGAGAAATTATTTCTGTGTTATTTATAATTTCAATACTCAAAAATTGTAAATGTATTCTTACAAAAATTTTAAACATTTTTCCCACTATACAGCCATCCACAGACTTCTCACACTCAAGCTGGTATAGCTGATGTAAGCTTCATTTGTGTTGTTAAAAAAATGTACACACAAACTCCTTTAAAAGTGTGCATATATTTTTAGAAGAAAACCTATATGTGAGTTCTAGCACTAGTAACATCAAATCAATTAGTAAGACATTTCAAATATAATAGGGAATAAGTGGCCAGGCACAGTGGCTCACACTTGTAATCCCAGCATTTTGGGAGGCTGAAGCTGGTGGATCACCTGTGGTCAGGAGGTCAAGATCAACCTGGCCAACATGGTGAAACCTTGTCTCTACTAAAAATACAAAAAATTAGCCACGTGTGGTGGTGGGCCCCTGTAATCCCAGCTACTTGGGCTGAGGTAGGAGAATCACTTGAACCCGGGAGGCTGAGGTTGCAGTGAGCGGAGATCGGGCTATTGCACTCTAGCCTAGGCAACAAGAGCAAAACTCCATATCAAAAAAAAAAAAAAAAAAAAAAGAAAGAAAAAGAAAAAATATGTATATGTGAAATTGTTAATTTAATTCACAAATTCCAGATATAATAAATCTTGTATGAAGAACTTTTCATTAAGAATGTGGGACTCAACAGCAGCAAAATTATTCTGTTTTTCTAAAATACATTGAGACTTATGTGTATGTAGGTTAAATAGCTCGAATTAAACACATTTTCAAATTTAAGTCAAATTTTCATTGTAATGTCATTAAATTCAAATTATTTTAAAAACATAAAATTTTTGCTGGAATAGGAAAACATCTAACTGAAACATTAAGTACCTGAATTGACATATGATTTCAATCTCCTAAGGAAGCAAGTTAAGTAACCTCTGCCAAATTATATAATTCTTTAGAATATGGAAAAATATGATTTTTTGCAAGTTTCACATGTTTAATCATACTGACTATATTTGAATTATAAAACATCCTGTTCTAATGTAGGTAAATGTACAATAGTCGGTTAAATGCAATTTGTCATGCACAAACATACACAAATATTTATTCCCGTAAGTAGAGCTGACATAGGGCCACTTAAAATGTGAGAGACAATTAAGCTTTGAATGTTCTTATAAATCTGATGGCTGTATGCACATTTTGATACTTTGTTATATTTAAAGATGTTTAGGGAAAATGGGAAAAATGCTTTTGGCAGTTTGTTATTTAGTGACTTGCATTTGAAAATCTCCTGGAAGTGAAGAGAGAGGAAATCCAATATTTACTTCAAAGTGTGTGTGTCATTGTTTTCTGCATGTGATTATGAGGCAAGTGTTAAATTCCAAATAGCAGAATATTCAGATAAACACAATCAATTGAGAAAGTTGCACCTAATCAGAAAATTGCACTTACTCTGCGGCTTAATGTTTCCCTAAGGTATGAAGAATGGCTTCTATGAAACCTTGAGAAATGTATAAAAGAGGACATCAAATAATGAAGAAACTTCCATAGTTACTAAATTATGGGATTATTTTTAACAACACAATACAAAGAGCTAAATAAAAATGATTCAAAAATTTCCAGAATGCTCTGCATACTTCTGCATATCTTTCTACCCATATTTTGGACAATGTTCATAATAACAAGAGGAAACATAATTTGTACAGCACATCTTGATAGCCTTGTTCATACAAGACGATTGCAAGCGCTGCATTTCCTATAGTAACTGTCTCTAGGATATATTTTTCATTTTTCCTAATTTGAATATTTTCTACCTCCAAGCAGTGGCAGCAGCTCTCATAAACAAGTTTGTCAGCTAAGATTTCTTTTAAAATTTGCCCAAGAGCATATTACATGTACGTTTCTTGTTTAAAGATATGCTTCTGAATAAATTCAGTGAAAGTTATTTGTACATATGGCTCAATTTTAAATACAAGCTATTCACAGATCATAAAACAGCAACATCAAGCTGACTTTGAATGCTGATTTGCAAGATGTTTGCGGGTATATAAGAATAAAGTCTATTACATATATGGTCAAAGAAGAAACCACAGAGAGTAACAAATATATGTATATATGTTCACCTTCATTGTCCTTCAGAGTGAAGTTTGGATTTACAGGCAGGTGTTCATCAAGAAAGAAGTTAAACCTTGGTCCATTGGCAAAATCATCTTTATCAGTGGCACTGATGGTGTGAATAACCTAAAGAAAAGACACACGCTAAATTGTAAATTTTATTTTGCTTGTTCCCTTGATTTTAATTACATTGTATTCTGTTTAAAAATTACTTTTAAAATACCATTTATTGCAACTTGAGTTATTTTTTCAAATTCAGCTCATAAAATGATCAACTAAATTGCCCTGTCTTAGATTAGAGTTTAGGAAAAACAGGGTATATAATTTCTAACAATTCATCACACTTTATTTTCTAGCATAGCACACACAATAAATTTTTTCTTAATCACCCATGGTACTGTGGGGCCAACTAGGTGCAATGTTTTCACATGAACACCTCTTGGAGAAGACATCAAGTATTGTTTGGACAAATATAAATATCCCAATGTTGATTCAAAACAGCTTATGAGTGTATGTTGGTCTACGTAGTAACTGCAAGAACAGTGGAATCTTGGTTTTATTATTTTTTAGGAGGCCTTTAAGATCATGATCCAGTCCCTGTATTTTACAGTTGAAGAGCCTGAATCCTGGAAAGATGGTGATGTGCCCCAAATCTCTAAAATAATGGTAGAGGCAAAACAACACCCTCAGTGATTTATAAATAACTTCTCTCCAGTGCTCAGGAGAAAGCAATTCTTTAAAATCGGGTCTTACTGTACACTAAAAAGCAGAATAAGTTAGAATTTATGGTGGCCCAAGAGAAGAACATGCATTTCAATAACTATGGCCAGTCTGCTTCTAAAAAATAAGTATCAAAATAAACAGACAAAAACATAGTTTCCTCTTTTGAAAATTATTGTTGTAATGCTTAGGTGTCTTCATTCAACCCTTTTCTTAGAAAAATGAGAAACAAAGAGAGGGTAGGTAGAGCTGTGGCAATAGTATTTCCTGCTTCTGAAATACATTGTATCATGTTAGAAACTAACATAATTTCTTAGAACATTATATTTAATTTCACCCAATTCAGTATTTTACAAGGGAGGTAATTCACCAAAGGATATCACAGTTAAAACCTAAATGTTCTCTCCATGGTCTGAGCCCATTAGTTCGTCAGAAAGATGAGAAGGAAAAGAAAAGTGCTGAGAAGTGGGGGTGAGTGAGGGTAAAACCAGAAAAGCGTGTGTTTTCGTGAAGTGACAGTGAAGAAAGCGCTTCAGGATACATAAGAGATCAACTTCCTCATTGTGTTTACTGAACTCACTCTCACCTCCTTTCCGTACTACTTAAAAGATACACGCTCAGCAAGATCCTATGTGCTTCTTACCCCTGCCTCCGCCTCCAGAGACGTCTCTAGCCTTTGTTTCCCTCCATATCTATTTACAAGCTGAAAACCTTACTGTTTTCTTTGTCCATTTAAAGTACAACTAGTGTCTGGATAGATTGCTTTTCCTTTTGTTTGACTTGGAGTAGGAGAATACATTGATGGATAATCAAAAACATTATGGCAATTCCAGTGATGCCTCATCTGAGGAACATACCTACACTGGCTCCACATGAGTTACTTAATATACAATTGAACTACATGTCAATATTTTAAGTTTTTTAAGGGTTAAATAAGTATTTATGCAGGTATCACATACTCCCTCACTTCCTCTAACACCTACAAATATTTAATGTTACCTCTCTTTTTTCCCCTTCCATGTAAAACAAATGTTCTATCCCCTTTGTCTTGAATTTTACTGATTCTCCAGTGTTTGACCCTATTTTCTCTAGGATACCTTATAACATTCTGATACATTTGAAAGTTTACTTTTTATCTGAGGATAGAATTTTGGAGGAGATTGGTGAAGAAGATTTCATTTGAGTTAACTGAGCTAGTTTATGTTTTCTGTTATCACTGCTGTGGGATTATTATTTTCTTTCCTAGCCATTTTAAAGTAAGTACATAAATTATTTTAATATTTTCTTAATATTTTACAAAAATGAGCTCATATCTGTTAAACTCTGATATAATTCATATTCTATTTTGTCAGACATCTTTTTCACTTTTATGCAGATAATTTCAAATGCAAATTAAACAGGAAGCTCATGTGATTTTTTAGGAGAGAAACTCCTAGTCTCCACATAAAAATGAGGATTTGATTATCCTGTTTTGTTTAACAATGTCCCAAGCGTCTTGAACTCTTATAGAATTGTTGATCGCGTATCTAAGCTTAAATTTTTATTAATCGTATTTCTGAAAAAAAATTTTCCAAAAACTAGAAATGTTAGTCGGACTTTGTCCAAAATTCTGTCATATTTGCTCAGCCTGTGTTCCGTGTTGGCATATTAAATTTTTCTGTTTTACAAATCACCTCATCTCTTTCATCAGATAATAGAATTTACACTCATTGTTACCTTAGACTTTCATTAGAAAATATACCTGAGAAGTTAACATGTTTGCAGTTTTTAGAAGTTGTAAACTTCTGGCAGATATCTAGATAATTAACAGGTTCCCATCATCAATAGTTTCTATCCCTTTGTCAGAATTGTGATTTATACACACTATGTTACCTTGCTATCTTTTTGTGTAATTGCTTTAGTAATGTAAAATCCCTAACAATATTTTTTGGTTCCTGTTTTTTCTAATTCAACGCAAGTGTTAGTTCTCATATATATATGTGTGATCTAATTAGCACATAGAATGCTTATTTTTTTTGAAAGATATCAAATAAGTGATGTTACAAATTTAGTCTTAAAAAACCAAAGGGTGAAAAAAAATGGAGAGTTGCTATTTATAAATAATTACCAGGGAGTTTTTTATGATATCTTCAAATAAATGTATCCACTTTAAAAATATACTTTCTATTGTCTATTAATACTAGAGCACTTTATTAGGGAAAAATCAGTATCACAAATATATAAAATCTGTCTAATCTACTACCATAGTATTAGATTTGGCAAATAAACTTGATTGGCTTAAATATTTTAAAAAGAAAGGTTTTTTTGTTTGTTTGTGTATTTGTTTGTTGAGGCAGAAGCTTACTGTGTCACCCAGGATGGAATGACAGTGGCATAGTCTCTCAGTCTTAGCTCACAGTAACGTTTGCCTCCTTCAGTTCAAGTGATTCTCGTGCCTCAGTGACCAAGTGGTTGGGACTACAGGCGTGCACCACCATGGCTGGCTGATTTTTTAATTTTTGGTAGAGATGATGGGTTTTTACCATGTTGGCTAGGTTGATCTAGAACCCCTAGCCTCAAGTGCTCTGCCCACCCAGAACTCCCAAAGTGCTGGGATTACATGTGTGAGCCACAATGCTTGGCCAAGAAAGTTCTTAACTCAGAAATAGAAAATCAAATACCACACATTCTCACTTATAAATGGAAGCGAAACAGTGGTGACAGATCAACATAAAGATGAAAATGACAGACACCAGGGACTCCAAAAGGGCAGAGACTAGGAATGGGGAGGGTTGAAAAATAAACTGTTAGGCACAGTGTTCACTATTTGGGTAATGGGTACACTACAGGCCCAGTCCCAACCTGAACACAGCATTCCCATGTATAAAAATACCCATGTAACCCTCAACCTAAACGAATATTTTTTTAAAAGACATAGTATGCTGTTTAAATTAATCAATGCATCTGCTTCAAAATATAATCCTTAATAGTATCTGCTTATATATATTAGATAACATCAACTTCTGCTATTTAAATGAACTTGATTTTTGACAGTAAAGAATCTCTATTGACCTAGTTAATTTTTTCATGCAAAATTATATAGTTAACAATTGTATGTGGTGGAGGCAGAGAATAGTGTTATGTAATAAAATTTATTTTATGTGTTATTTTTTATATTTATTTCTAGTGAAAGAATGAACACAGAAGAAATTTAATATGCATAAAATAGAATAGATTCCCTCGATTTTTTCAATGTTTCTACTTTAGACATATCTAAATTTTTCTGAATTCATTTTACTTTAAGAACTGTCTTTAAATTTCATACATGCATGCCTTTCTTTTTAATACTTTTCTTAGGCAATATACTTAAAATATGTATTTTTTCAGAATAGTAAAATATATTAACTAAGGGAACTATATTTTTGCGGTTTACATTAGTATCACAATTTACCTGAAGTCTGCTGTTATATGGGGCTTAAACTTTCACAAAAGGCCAATCTCTTTGCCATAGCTACATTCTGATACAGTTAGATGTGCAGCCTCCATAATAGAAATACCCTTAATTCTAAAAGCAATTGTCATTAAAATAGGAACTGTCACACAGCTTGGTAATACAAATATACTTCAGAAAACTGATTTCTCCAATTGTTGTTTAAATAGAGTTTCGTATTCCAACTCTGCATCATAATGCATCAGATTTCTTCAGAAGAGTTTTCAATATATGGTTAAAGGAGTCAAAGGCTATAAAACAAAAGAATACAGATTGGGACCACTTCACTCTGCAATGGGTTAATCACACGAGTAGAGCACATACATTGGTAATGATTCCTCTAAATGTGGATGCCACAAGCAATACTTAAAAACAATCTTTTCTTCCGTCAATTAAGGATTAAATTTATTTTGGTGGAAGAGTTGAAAATCAATACACAAGAAACAACATAAAAAGTTCAATTATCTTATAATCATGTCTAAAATTGTTAATGTTAAAGGCAACAATGGTAGCTAAATATATAGTGTTTTAAAGAGCAAAAGGAGTAACCACATAATCAACTTACAAAACTTAAAATGTTAGAATGTAGGGGTACTAAGTGTAGTAATTACCTTTTTGACAGCATTAGGTTTTGTGTCCACACATAAATCATGTTGAATTATAATCTCCATAATCCCCACATGTCAAGGGAGGTAATTGGACCATGAGGGCAGCTTCCCCCCATGCTGTTCTGATAGTGAGTGGGTTCTCAGGAGATCTAATGTTTTTTTTTTTTGAGACCAAGTTTCCCTCTTGTCACACAGGCTGGAGTGCAGTAGCGTGATCTTGGCTCTCTGCTACCTCTGCCTCTCAGGTTCAAGCAATTCTCCTACCTCAGCCTCCTGAGTAGCTAGGATTACAGGCAGCCACCACAACATCTGACTCATTTTTTTTTTTT